AGTGATATCTGCGCCGAACGGACTTTAGCGTTCGCTTAATACACATGACAGTTCGACCATCGGTTTCGATTATGTCCACCGTGTGCCCCATTGTTGCAGCAGCAATGGGAGCAGGGACGGTGACTTACGCAGGGGTTTATAGTGCCGGTAGACTTGCGTAGCATCTACCTACACTCTCTCCTCCTCCCTCGCCCGAGTCCAATGTCAAGACAGTGTCAAGAAGACCGGAGACGAGAGAGGCCGCAGGTGGATGGCTCGGACGGATCCTCACCTTGGCGTTCCACCACACCCCCTGATCCACACAACAAATAACCAGGATTTCAACCAACACAAGAGATATTTGGAGGCTGGCACGGCTGAAGCCGCACCTGGGCGTGCCGCCAACGCCTGGGTCGGATCCCACACTGTGATGGGAGTGCCATAAAGGCCACATTAAAAAGGAGTCATTTCAGCCTGACTCTCAGACCGCCTCCCGTCGAGGAGGAGGAGGTTCAAGTTACCCCGTCAGTTGGCAACCTTCCAAGCCACGGCTTTTAGCGCACCGTGATAGCTTCAAGCCCGTCAGATTGTTTATAGTGAGGAGGAAGTGCGCTGAGTCGTCGACCTCACTCTCCCTTCCCACTCCCACACTCCAGCCGCTGTCCAAGCCGGTCAGCAGACTGGAGTGGGGAATGGGCGCGGTGGCTGTCATGGTCGACTGGCCATGACTGCGTGCGCCACGGCACGACCTGGCCCCCCATACACACAACACCAGGATTTCACACAACGGCGGTTAAACGGCGTGTCACTCACTTGCGTGAGAGTGCCGTAGAAGGTGCTGTTTCAGCCCGTTCCCAGCCCACCAGTCCGCCACTCCACACAACACACACACAATACGGCGAACTGCGTGAAGCGAGAGCGGGCCTCAATCAGCAACCTTCCTATCCACGACGCTTGACGTGTCGAGATAGTCTCGGACTCAAGTCACCCGTGCAGCCGAAGCCGCATGGGGACCGAGTCGAGATGCGGACTTCCCACTTGCATGGGAGGTGGCAGTTGGGTGCATGAGGTGTGTGAGTGTTGATTTCTGGTGGGGTGATGGTGGTGGTGGAGGAGGTAGGGAGTGAGTGAATGTGTGGTGTGACCGGCGGTTGTCTACCGCAGGTCGTCGTGGGTGCGCACGTGGCAGAATAGGCCCATGCGATGCCTGAAAGTGCGAGGACAGTGTGGGCAATTGAGACGAGCTTGGTGGGTATAGGTGGGTGCTCCAGGCACTGGTTCGCCAGTCTCTATGCGATGGATTCGCAAGTGACCGACCAGGCCGATGCGTGAGGTGAATGTGCGTGGACAGTGTGGGCATGAGAAGTCGGCGGTGTCAGTGTCAGCTACAGAGGAGGCGGCGGTGGTGGTGGCGCGGACGGATGGAACGAGAGTGGGGGTGTGAAGGGTGGATGTGTTGGATGTGGTGGGTGTGTCGGGAGTGCGGTCAAGGCCGCTCTCGTGGATGCGCATGTAGTCGAAAAGGCCCATGCGATGCCTGAAGGTGCCAGGGCATTGTGGGCAGTGGAGGCGAGTGCGGTGGGTCTGGGTTGGTGCTTCACGCACTGGTTCGCCAGGCTCTGTGCGATGGACTCGCAAGTGACCGACCAGGCCGATGTGTGAGGTGAAGGTACGGTCGCAGTGAGGGCAGGTGTAGTCCTGATCCTCATTCCTGGAGTCGGGGGAGGTGGTGGTAGTGTCGGTTGCTGTGCGCGGACAGTCGCCTGAGCGGCCGCCGTTGGAGCAGTGGGCGAGGAGGAGGAGGATGATGGAAGTGGCGGGTCAGAAGAATTGTCAGGGTTAGTTGGCGGCGGAGAGGAGGAGGAGGAAGAGGCAGGCGGCGGGACGATGGTTGGTGCAGTTCGAGAGGCGCAGTTGATCCGAAGATGTCCAACAAGTCCGATTCGAGCCCGGAATTTCCGTTGACATCGAGGACACGTTGGAAGCGGTTGTGCGGCGGCGTTACTTACTGGGCGAAGTTGTGATTTGCGGACTTCGCGTTTCATTTTGGCGGCGGCGATGCGGTTGGCTTCGTAGATAGCAGCGCCCGTCTTCACTGTTCTCCTCCATGTCGGACGATCGCGGGCGAGCTCTTCCCAGTTGGTCGGGTTGATGTGCAGGCGCTTCAGGGAGGACTTCAGGGTATTCTTGTAACGGCGAATTTGGCCTCCTTGACGACGAGAACCCGTCGCGACGTCTCCGTAGAAGAGTCGTTTGGGTAGTCGCTCGTCGTCCATGCGCACCAGATGGCCGCTCCAGCGAAGCTGCATTAGTGTCAACATGGAGTAGATGCTTAGAATTCCCGTCCGTTCCAGCACTTCGGTGTCGGGGATGCGGTCCTGCCAGTTCAGCCTCAGGATGCGGCGGAGACAGCTGAGGTGGAAGTGGTTTAGTCGACGTGCCTGCGTCGTGTACACCGTCCAGGTCTCCGCTCCGTACAGTTGCGTCGGCAGGATGACGGCCTTGTACATCTTCAGCTTTGTGCTCAGTTGGAGACCATGACGATTCCAAACTGTGCTTTGGAGGCGACCGAAGGCTTGACTGGCTTTCGAGATCCTGTTGGCGACTTCGTCGTCGATCTTGGTGTTGCGGGAGAGCGTGCTGCCCAGGTACGGGAAGTTCTCTACCACTTGCAGTTGAGTCCCATTCACGTTGATTTGCGGCGCGTTGGGGGCTGTGGCCGAGTTGGGTGGCAGTTGGTGCATCACCACCGTCTTCTGTGTGTTGATGACCAGACCGAAGTTCTCGCAGGCGGCGGAGAGCAGGTCCATGCTCCGTTGCATCTCCTCTTCCGAGGTGGTGTTCAGGGCGCAGTCGTCGGCGAAGAGGAGTTCGTGAACGGTGGTTGTGGATACGTGCGATTGGAAGTGCATCCGCCGTTGATTCAGGAGGTGACCGTCCGTCCTGTAGGCGATGCGAATCCCGGGGCGTTCGTCGTGGTAGGCGTCCATCAGCATGGCAGAGAACATAAGACTGAAGTGGGTAGGCGCCAGTACGCAGCCCTACTTCACTCCATTGGTCACTGCGAATGCCTCTGAGACAGCTCCGTTGTCCGTGACTCGCACCATCATACCGTCGTGCAGCTGACGCACCATCTAAGTGAATCGCTCCGGACAGCCGAATTTCTGCATGATCTTCCACAGTCCTTCACGATTCACCGTGTCTAAGGCTTTCGTCAGGTCCACGACGGTAGAGTACAGGTGGGTCCGCATCTCCTGACACTTCTCCTGAAGTTGGCGGGCGGCGAAGATCATATCCGTGGTCCCACGATGACGACGGAAGCCGCATTGGCTTTCCGGCAGAAGGCCCCGTTCCAGATGGTTATTGAGGCGATTAACAAGGATGCGGGCGAAGATCTTCCCGGCGATGTTCAGCAGGGAGATGCCGCGGTGATTGTCGCAGACTTGGCGATTCCCTTTGCGCTTGTATAGGTGCACGATGGTTGCGTCTTTGAAATCTTGCGGGACTTCACCCTGACGCCACATCTCTTGGAAGAGCGCAGTCAGCTGATCCATTAGTTGGGGACCTCCGTGCTTGTAGACCTCAGCAGGGATCGCGTCCGATCCTTGTGCTTTCCCGCTGGAGAGCTGCTGCACGGCCCTGATGGTCTCCTGGAGAGATGGCGGGAAGTCGAGGTCCACGTTGGTCTTCACTTGCGGCAAACGCTCGATGGCGGCGTCGGAGATGACGGAGGGGCGGTTGAGGACACCTTGGAAATGCTCGGCCCATCGCTGCAGGATTTGCGTCTTCTCAGTCAGGAGAGTGTTGCCGTCGGCGCTGAGGAGAGGAGCAGTGCCCTTCGTCGGCGGACCGTAGATAGCCTTGATCGCAGAGAAGAAGTTCTTCCATTCGTTGCGGTCCGCGTACCCTTGGATCTCCTCAGCTTTGCGAGCAGTCCAGGCGTCCTGCATCTCGCGCAGTCGTTGCTGAAGTTGGCGGCGACTGCGGTAGAAGGCATCTTTGGTGGCATCAGTGGGGTGATCTACGTAGGCTTTGTGTAGGCGGTTCTTCTCAGCTAGCAGATTTCTGATGGCGGCGTCGTTGTCATCGAACCAGTCCTGGTGTTGGCGGGGAGCGCGACCGAGGACGGCGAGCGCCGTGGACTGGACCGTGTCTCGCAGTTGACACCAGCGGTTCTCCACGGAGGCGTTCTCGGCAGCGGCGGCGTCGTCGGCGGCAGCGATGGGAAGGTTGTCTAGCCTTTGAGCTAGCTCATTGCTGAAATGAAGATGGTGAACGGGCAAAGACAACAAGGCAAAATTCAGCTTACCTGGGGGTCGCTTACCTTGTGGTCTCCTGCGAGGCTGTAGGCGAATACGCATCTTCGAGATGACGAGGCGATGGTCGGTCCACCCGTCAGCGCCCGCGATCGTCTTTGTCACCAGCACGTCCCCCTGATCTCGCCTTCGGACGAGGACATAGTCCAGCAGGTGCCACTGGCGCGACCGAGGATGCCTCCAGGTGGTCTTCTCTCGCTCCGGCAGACAGAAGAAGGTGTTTGTCAGGATGAGGCGGTGTTCTGTGCAGGTGCGGAGGAGCAGCAGACCATTGTCTTTTGAGCCGCGGAGACCGTGGGGACCCAGCACTCCTCTCCAGGCAGTATGGTCTGTGCCGACACGGGCGTTGAAGTCACCAAGGACAATCAACTTGTCCACCATCGACACAGTCGCCAAGAGGGCGTGCAGGTCCTCGTAGAATTTGTCTCTGACGGCGTCGGAGGCGAATTTGCCTCCCCAGAGAGGCAGGCGGAGGCTCATCAGGTGATCGTTGATTCCCTGCGGCAAACAGGGCAGTCGTCCCACGATGTCGTTCCGAATGGCGAAAGCGACACCCGCGTCCCCTCGCTCTGCCCTGGGTCGACCGCTCCAGAAGAAGGTGTAGCCGGCATCCACCTCCTCCAGTTGGCCTTGTTCGGAGAATCGGGTCTCGCTGAGTGCGGCGATGTCCACTTTCTAGCGCGCCAGTTCTCGTGCCACTAGCTACGTCCTCCTTTCCGGTCGGTTGTTCCTCGGATTGTCTAAAAGGGAACGAACATTCCAGGCTGCCAGAGTGAGCGGGCTGACCCTGCCAGTCTGGTGACAACGAGTGGGGCGACGGGAAGGAGATGGAGAAGAAGGTGACGATGAGAGATCGAGCTCATCCCCTGAGACCCACTCCCATTCTGTCATACCATAGTGGGCTCAGCTGAATTATTTCAACC